GTGTGTGTGTGTGTGCGTATATGATACGAATATATATATATATATATACATATATATATATCTATACATATATATATATGTATATATATATTTAATATATAATATATATATATATATATATATATACCATGTATCAGTGTTTGAATTTGGATATCTAACGAAATATATATATGTATATATTCATACATGTTTGTATCTATATACACTAATATACTTGATACCTATATATACATTATTCTACGTATATATGCACCCCTCGCGAATCAAATTGTCTTTATTTCCCCTTTGTTTTCCCGGTATTTTGTGAGGTTTGCGAAAGTCAAATTGGTCAGTCGCTTGAATGTAGTTTTCGTTATAAGATCAATACTATTCATTGACTTGTAATCGTCGTTCTACATGAGATTGTTAACAGTTTACTAAATTTTACAAAACTGATATACACGTCTGGCCAAATACGACTCACACAAAAACACCTGGGCGCGGGGTATAAACTTGAGATACTCGGCTGCAAAGGCAGTATTCAGCATAAAAGGGTCTTGCTCCCACAGTATGTATACAACCGCCGACACAAAGAAAGCTATAGAGACTCTCGTGGGTACCCATCGGAAACTCATCGACTTAGACGAGCTTGTCCATGACAAGTACCTACTCTGCGCTTTCCTGCATAGTCGCGGTGTCGAAGATGCGATTCTCCGCTCATCAGAACGACATGTTGTCGCATGGTCAAATTCAAGATCGTGGCGAGAGTGAGATATGTTGCTCGGTTGACAAATTGTTCATAGCTGCACTTCTGAATGTGTCGGCGCAGTGCTTGATCAGGGGCTTCACTAAGGCGACGAAAGTGATAGTATAAATCTCGATATGATAGGCGTTGTTGCTGTAGCGTTGACAATCTTTACAGCTGTGACAGACACATGGTGGTGGCGACAAGGAAACTGCATGCTTTATATTGCAAGGGAACTTTCTCATACGTATTTACTATAAAAAATTCAAACGTGTCCGATCTGAGGGGGTGTTAATTGTATTGGATGAGAAATAAACTGTCCTGTAGGCTACACTTGGGCGCGTACACACGTGTTGATTGATGAAACATAGCTCTTCAATTAACTACACTCTAACAATTGAAATGTATCGTAACTGCGTATTCAGAGCTCATCAAGGTATGTATGCAAACAAATACGGGATTGTAAATGCTGTGTTTCTCTAACAAATCCGTCATCCTCTACATATATGTAGATAGATACGTTTTTGAAACTTATTATCCCAAGTCTACAAACATTGATAAAATAGTGATAATTCATATGACAATACAATTTTTGTCTGCAAACTTTAATGAATCATCGGCGTGTCTACAACCTCACTAAGAATCACATTGACAATGTGCTATAGGGTATTATTAAATCCGAATGTTTGTAGATAGTTTCACCTTGAGTTCTCCGCAATTGGCGATAGTCGAAATTTTCTATACTGTTCATCCGAAACCATTAGCAGCCCTTCAAGTCATATTCGTTGTAATTTTTATTTCCGCACACGATTTCGTTCTTAAGTGTAGAACTCTACGCTGCAAATATTCATGATCCTTCCGTCGCCCCTGCAGTTTCATCGGACTACATTGGCATTGTATTCGGCAAGTGACCTAAAAGCATTTTGGTATTGGGCTTTATGAATCTCAAATGTGCGTAGTTGGGCAAAACTCGCGCACCCTTGCCTTAAATTGTCACCGCTTTCCTCGTGGCCTCACCCCCATTCGGATACTCGATAGCGTCAACAACCTCGGATCCCTTGTTCACATTTCGAATACTACAGGACTACGAAATTCACAGTATACTACAGTTGATAATGAATTCGTACGGACGTAAATATTGACTTTATTTATTTGAATCGGTGCGTAGTTGGGACAAATTCACGTATCTTTGGTCTTCAGTTCGCCAGAGTCGGCAATGATTACCCTTTGCCTTGTGGCTCCACTTCCGCTGCCTACACTCTCGATAGCCGCAACAACCTCGCATCCCTTGACCACTCGTCCAAATACCACATGTTTGCCATCCAAGTGTGATGTAACAGCCTACAACCATTATTTTGTATGTGTATGTCAGTATGCAATATTTGATACATAAAAACCATTCCCATAATTATATCGAATACGGAAAGTGACTTATGGTCTTCCAGAAAAAAAAATTCGGAACCAAGTACATCCCCCAGGACACAAGACATATCAGATTCGCCTGATATTGCGAAGAGGTTCCAAATACCTGAAAACCAGCCGAATCCGACGTACCATCTTCAGTCACATATACTATGCAAATAGATGACAATGCGAATTGACATACCAATCATAGTAACACGTATCTTATATTTAACAGACAATATGAACCAAACATACCGTGGTGAGGAAGAATTGGCTGCCGTTGGTGTTGGGTCCTAATAGAAGAAAGCAAAAACAAAAACAAAACCGAAACATGAATACGATAATACTGGTCTGCTGTCGTGCGACGCCCACACTAAGCGTACACGTACCCGCACCTAGTCTGTACAGCTTGCAATGTTGCAAGCAATGCTTAGGGAAAGAGTAGTAAGCCACATATACGGTGACAGCTTGATGCTTGATGTGGCAACACACGCCGTTCTCATCCAAAAAAATCGATGCAGACTACCAGTGTGACTCTTATGTTTACATCCGCTGATGTTGGCGATGCCAAACTAAGTGAGAGTGGAACAATTACTACGCTCGATACCGCCTGGACTACTAAGGGTAATAGGCTGTACTTCCAAGGAGCACAGATGAAAAGTTTACCTTCAGACGTATGGGGTTGTGACTCAATAAAAACTTACATGCGGATCCTGTACTGTCCGTGTCATGCGTATGTGCCATTTTTATCCGCACGTACATCACATAGCTAACTATATTCGTGTCTCGCGTAGGAGAGCATACTGAACAATTATAAACTACGTGTATACGAAATAGAATACTTTCAATACTGACCCACTGGTATTGTGCCAATCATTGAATACGGATGTGTACGGGTAGATGTCTGTATGTCAACATAAGCATACACCCTTTCAGTACGAATTTACTTCTAAAACCACGAAAAGTATAAGTAAATATTAATGATACTGTGTGTCGCACATACCCGAATTTGCCATGGAGAGCACCATGGGAACTGAGTGCCTGACCACGCCGTTAGTCCACTCATCTCGGAAACTGTTGCCGTAAATACTCTCTCCGCCTAATTGTAGTGATGGAGGGCAAGTGGAAACATATGAGGGCATATCACTATAGAAGGATGCAGTGTGGACTCCCATATACAAGCAGGAATGTGGTGGAACTCTTATAGACACGTACAGACATGTACAAGCGAACGAACGTACCGAAATATGCCTATACAAGTAATACGGGGTAGCAAATATAAAATAAAATGATGTGGGCGCATGTGTTTGAACATCCTTGTGTAAATTTTATATATATATATATATATGTACGTTTATATATATACACAAATTTACTTATTTACACACAAACACACACGCGCATATATATATATATAAATATATATACATACATATTTTGTTATATATATATATATATACATATATATAATTGTACATATAAAATTATATATATATATTAATGTATATATATATATATATAGATATATATATGCATGTATATATATATTTATATATGTACTAGAAAATACACATAGATATGCATATACAGATATGTATATTTGTGTCTGTCGTACCAGTGCCATTGCCTCGAGTGAAGTCTCCTCCCTGACACATGAACCCAGGGATAACTCTGTGGAACGAAGAGCCTTTGTAATGTAGAGGTACACCCTGTTTTCCAACCCCTTTCTCGCCGGTACATAAGGCTCTGTGATGTGGTATTGTTTATATAGTGGTGACGTATCAGGACTATGATTTACTGTGGCAACGAAGCCTACAAGAAATTGAGAGAATCTGGGAAATGTTCTCTCTCTCGTTTTGTGAAGACCTACCATCGAAGTGCAGAGAGCTTCGATGTATGTCATAAGATTATTAGGCTGAAGTACGCAGATACGCCGACGCACATTGATTGTCAACGAGAGGCTGGGTTACATGTCCAAGGCGCTAGTGCTGCTTTCGAATGCTCAACCTCCGTATACCTATTTTACAGCATTATGCCCATCTTTTGAAAATGTGTCAGACGTACCGTACTTAAGTCAGTTTGGGTAGATACGATTGCTTTACTTGACTTCACCTTTAAAGGTCATGGGGAGATGAATGTTGTCAGCACGGGTACAATGGCTATAAAAAAAATACAAAAAATATGACTTCCACAATAATAACACATCCGAGGTTCGGTAGGCAAACTAGACTCAAGCGCTGTGTACAAACATCATCGTATACAAGTCTATAATAGATGCGTGATGTACAAAGCAACAAAGTGCACACCTGGATCGACAATGATGCTTGAATGTATGATAAGATTCTAACATGCCCACCTCACAAGGACATTTGTGTATCATATACACATATACTTCGGTTTTTACAATCATTGACAGACATACAACACTTATTATCAAATCCTGACTACCCATACCTGAAGTTCTCAGCTGTCTTGGGACAGACTTTGGCAAATAATTCCATTTCAATACGTCCCGCCGCTTGGCCATCAATAGTCATATCGAAGAAGACGGTAGGGTTGGAGGGATCTGCAGCATCCGTCAAGGACACTGTTTCGCCAGGCATTGGCCCAGAAAACAGTCCTGGAATGCCAAAGCAAAAGGTGATATCTCGATTGGGAGCTATATATGCCAATATACATATATATACGTATATACATAATATACATACATACATATATAAATATATGCTCCGCTATTCGTACCGGGTTCGTTCGATATGCGAGCCAGGCACCACAGTCGAGAAATAAAAACATCGACATATATATACGTATATATATATATATATATATATATATATATATATATATATTGTGTGTGTATNTATATATATATATAGTA